GAGTTGCATTTGAAGATAGGAACTCCGGTCATGTTGTTGCGAAACATGGACCATTCTATGGGTCTGTGTAATGACACACGTTTGGTTGTTATGAAGCTCTCTCCGCTTGTTCTTGAATGTAGGATATTGACTGGAGATCAGGCAGGTGAGAAGGTGTTGATTCCTCGGATGAACATAACTCCTTCTGATGTTAGGATTCCGTTTAAGTTCCAACGGAAGCAATTTCCCCTTTATGGTTTTCTATGCCATGACCATAAACAAGAGTCAGGGTCAGTCTTTATCACATGTTGGACTGTTCTTGGAAAAACCTTTTTTTAGTCATGGCCAGTTATACGTCGCTGTTTCACGTGTTACTAATAAGAGGGGTTGAAAATATTAGTTTGTGGGGACGATGAGTTACCCAGTAATCAAACTAATAACGTTGTATATAAGGAGGTTTTTAATAATGTATAACTTTTTAACAATGACGATTTTATGTTTACTTTATGAATGTCATACGTATTATAATAACTTATTAATTAATTAGCTTTTAATTTTTAAAATTTTCCAAACCATGTACTAGCCCGTGCATCGCACAGGTTAGATACTAGTAATTATTATGCTGAAATAGATAAATAATTAATTGCCATAATAAATTTAAATAAATAAATAAATCCACTATTATGGCTATTAATTATTGAGTCTCCCTGAACACGGAAACTAATCAGATTCTTTCCTTGTCAAACTGGAACTCCCACTGAAGTAGAATCTGATAGATATTGTACTACTTCTCCAACAAGAAAACAGTTTCGCATCAGCTGTCGCCCGCCGGTCTGCCGAAAAAACTTGCCGAATTTTTTTTTCTCTCTCGCACACAGGTCGCGTGACTCCTCGGGTCGCGTGACTCCTGGTCGAGTCCTCCACGACCCGCGATCGCCGCTACCCCTTCCGCCTTGCTCGTCTGTGGACCAAGTGGTGATAAACCGCCAATCGCGCGAGCTGCAGTGGTCCGCCGGCGGTCGCTCGGGCCCGGTTCCAACTGGGTCTTCAAGGTTCGTTGATCCTTGTGATCTCCCAGTCATTAACACATGATCACAACACGAAAAATATAATTTATAAAATTACATAATCCGATCATATGTCCAACGAACGGATGCACATGTTTTCTAAACAAATATATAACTCTATCCGGTCAATCTCCGGGCAAATAATTATTACAAACATTCATCCATTATTCGACATGTCCGGGGCTTTAAAAACAAAGTCAAAACCCATACATCACGCTCAACAACATTCATCAAATATATAATCGGCCATAATAGTGGATTAAACTAATTCGTGCAAAACCGAGTTATGCGAATATAATCCAATATATATGGTTGAGTTTGAACACATATTGTCAAATAAAGTCATAAAAATTCAAACTTTGTACAAAACGAATTAACCAAGTGCTCTGATACCACTTGTTGGGATCTATGAGGATCTCGTTATGTAAAATTCACGAATTCAATTGCAAATGTAAACTTATGTGCAGCGGAACTAAAGGTTTGACGTAGGAAACTTACGTCTTAAAATTTATCTGAGTCTGACGGAATCGGGATAACCGTGAATAGCACACGAACAGATGACGGGGACCTAGTGGTCGCGATCGATCGTGTGGTGCGTGGAGGACATCGCCGGTCGTGTCGCGCACTGCCGGGCTGGTCGCGGCAGAGCTCCAGTTCACGGCGACGATCGACGCGTCATGGTGGTGCTTTCATCATCGGGCTGGGGTTGACGCGCGTGTTAAAATACACACATAGGAGATTTTTTTATCTCCTCTTCTATTCTCCATGAGCCTAATGATGTATATATAGAGCTTCAGTAGGGATTCTTAGGAGAACAGGAATAGGGATTCTTAGGAGAACAGGAATAGGGATTCTTAGGAGAATAGGAATAGAGCTTCTTAAGTAATGGACTAACTGTGGGCCTGGCCCACTGTTCCAAGTACTTAAATAATATTAAGTCCACTAACATAATATTATTGCACTCTATTTTCCTATCCCAAATTACATTTGAGACACCAATAATAATTACCGGAATTACCTTCTCATGTTTAAGATATAATGTCCATTAACTAATTCGATTAGTAATAATCAAGAATTAATTATAATTAATATATTATATTACCAAAGCTATCGCTCATTCGTTGCATTATTATTATGCCGAAACTTAATCCACATGCAGGGTTTAGCATAAAAATCATTCATGAATTGACTTCTGGGACATCATCAAACTAACACACATGGTGACTGTAAATATCATAACAACACATCCTACATGCATCAAATATTATCAAAGAGAGTAAAACTATTAGTCCATCGAATTGAACCTCACCCAAGTGAATCAATGTAATAAGTACTGCATATATATGTATGTTTAATATCTTATGGGTTAAGAGAACAATAATTAACCGAGGCCTAGTTCATTTATGACAATCAATATAAAACGAACTTCTTCTCTATGGGATTCTGTTCAATACATAATTGTACTAGTGTAACTAATCAGTCAAGACCAATTGTACTGTTGACACTACAACCGTTCTGATGGGGTGTTCATGTCCATCTAGGTTGTGAACCAATAATTCTTGTGTTGCAAGTCACTGATAAAATGATCTTTTGTTTACCCGCTAATAAACTATACTGTCTAAATACAAAATAATAGAACATAGAACTTGTTTAATTAAACATGATTCTCATTCATAAAGGGCAGAAGTGTAATATCATCTAAAGCCAAGCTTTCAGTATATTACACCAACAGATGAAAAGGCCACAGTTAGAAGATAGTGGAACATGCGTAGGGTTATTATCCGTTGGATTGAAGGCACAAATCCAATGGTTTTTTTAGGAGAAGCACTCAAGTGGCACAAAGTACGAAGGTGCGCGATTTACGGAGTAATGTTGATAGGTTGACATATGGAAGGACGCGTCTGACAAATTGGACAGATGGTAGGATTTGCATTTTAAGATTCGAAATGGCGGTTAGAAGGCGAAATGGTTGACAAATAATAAAAAACAAACCAGTTGGTCAATTAGGATAGCAGATTTTATAGAAGTTAAAGATAGACGAAAATCTACTCTTATATTGACTCATTCAGACTCGACTAGAGTGGGGGGACTAGATGATATGGAATATTATACCTAGAGTAGGTCAGTTAGCAGGTCGAATAAATCGAGAGAACTGCTCTGGTCGAATAGAGTATAAGCGAGACAGTCAAGGTCGAAGATCATTAGAACGAGAACCTTAGGAGAATAGACTGGTCCCAGTTATGAAGAGGATCTGGCCGAAGACCTGACCTGTCGAGAAAACGGTCGTTTGATTGACCACTTTACAGATCGAGAGTGATCTAGCGATTAACCCAAATTTGTTCGAGCTTATGATCCTTCAAGAGGACTTTAAAGAAATATTTATCCACACGCGCGTGACACATGGCGTAGCTTGATTGGCCTATATTGATAACCATTTTTGACATAACTATATTGTGAGTTGTACTACCTGGCAGGCCGGGCAGCCCTAGGGCAGCCATCTCAGCAATCTAGGCAACTTTTAAACCAGGTATCTGACCCCTTATATAAAGGGTGAGCCTTATGATTTTACATACAATATCATTCACTCGTATTACTAAAAATCATATATAGCTTGAGATTGACTTGAGCGTTGAAGACTCTTCACCAGAAAATTCTTCTGGTGTAAGAGTTTGTGCAGGTGGTTGGCGTTCTATTGGAGAGGACAGCGAGGGCGAATCGATTCTCAGCCGGTCAGAGTATTGGACTTGCATTAGGCCTATTAACCTCTGTGGAGTTTCCTAGCACATCATCTCTAAGATTTAACTGTTAGACCGAAGATGTGCCTAAACTGTTTATATAAGGCAAACCAAGCTGCTTTTATCCCTGGAAGGCACCTCCTGGATAATGTAGCTTTAGCCCAGGATGTTGGTCATTTCCTTAATAGGCATAGGTCAGGTAAGCAAGGCTATATGGCCATCAAGCTGGATATGAAGAAGGCTTATGATAGACTTGAGTGGGGTTGTATTATAAAATACGGTGTCACTGTTCTTTTGTTAAGTGTGTTATGGCTTGTGTGTCTTTTCATCCTTTTCTTACAACATAAATGGTGAGATGAGGGGTTTTATCTTTGCTTCTTGGGGGATTAGGCAAGGGGACCCTTTGTTTTCTTACCTTTTTATTTTAGTCTCTGAGAAGTTCTCTAAGTTATTGGGAGTTGAAGTTTTGAGGGGGAATTTTAAAGGGATTAAACTAGCTAGGGTTAGCCCTCAAATCTATCACGTACTCTTTGTTGATGATCTCCTTGTGTTCTGTGCTGCTGACTGTGTTCATGCTAGTTGTCTGTTGTTTTTGTTAGAGCATTACAAAAAGTTTACAGGGCAGAAATTCATATAGAGAAAATATTTTATTTTCTTCAGCATGAACTGCTCTAGAGAACTTTAGAGGGAAGTTTGTCAGGAGCTAAATGGAATTCAATCTCATGCCTCCTAAAGGTATTTGGGATTTTCACTAGGTATTGGAAGATCCAAGACGGAAACTTTTGCTTTTGTGATTGATGTTGTCCAGAAGAAGTTAGTCAGTTGGAAGAACAAATTCATATCAAATGCTGGTAAAGAGGTTTTACTGAAGGCTGTCATTGATTCACTTCAAGTGTTTTTAATGTCTTGTTTATGTCTACCCAAATGCTTATGTAAGGAGATTGCTAGATTGAGTGCTGATTTCTGTTAGGAAAAAGGGAAGAATCACTTGGGAGGTATGCACCGAAAATCATGGAAGATCATCACTCTGCCCATGGAGATTGGTGGGCTGGGTTTCAAAGATATTTTCCTATTCAATGGAGCCTTGATACTCAAACAAATCTAGAAAGTACTTACCAAACCAGACCTGCTGGTAAGTAAGGGGGTGATTGTTTATGGATTAAACTAGTTTTTATTAGGTTTATTTTTTTAACTATAGTTAATTTTGAAAAAAAAAAAGTGGTATAGTTAGTTGTTAGTGGATATATTAAAATAATATTTAAATAAAGTAATTAAAGTTTATTTGATGTAAAGGAGAAGAAGAAAGATTGGAAGTGATAGTTAGTTAAAATTATGTGAGTGGATAAATAATAAATTAAAGTTGACATGATGCGTAAGAATGATTAATTGATATTAATTAATTATATTGATAATAAGGGAGATAGTGGGGTTGAGTTAAAGTAGAGTTAAATTTTTGTTTTGATTGATTTTTTTACGGTAGAAACCATAAACAATCGCTCCTAAAGCTCTGAAAGGCAAATATTTTTCCAAGTGTTATATTATCCAAGTCTCTAGAACTTCCTCCGCTTCTTGGTCATGGTCTAACTGGTTGAAGATTAAGGATAAGTAAAAACAATTTTTCAAGATTCAGAATGGAGATGGAGTGTCTACCAACATATATGGAATGACCCTTGGTTGTGTGGGACTGTTAGTGAAAGGAGCGATCTTGTTAGGAGAAATGATAACCAGCTGGTGTGGGTGAATGAGCTAATAGAGGAGACTGGTTGAAGATGGAACTTAGAGCTACTAGGAGTTCTTCACCCCCTCAGAAAGGGAAAGGATCTTGCATGTAAAACTGAGTCAAGTGAGGAGCAAGAATAGATGGACCTGGACTTTGGATCCAAAAGGGATATTCTTTATTGCCAATGCTTATTCTAACAACATTACCAAAAAGCTTAGAGAATTGGATCTGGCAGAGGGGAGCATGACTGCTGAGAAGGAAAAAAAAAAGGACAAGAAAAGGAGTTGAGCGCTAAGGGTTAAAGGTAAGTTGAAATATTTCAATTGGAAATGTTACAATAATGCTCTGCTTACTTGCTGTAATTTGAAGGCCAGGGAACAGGATGTGGATGTGATTTGCCAAAGTTGTAGGGAAAAGCATAAAACAGTGGAGCACATTCTCTTTCAATGTGATAGAGCTCAACTGCTTTGAAAATTAACTCATGTGAGTTGGGATAACCCTTTTGCAGAGATGAATAGTTTCAGGCTTTGGTGGAGTACTACTTTTTTAGTGGATAGAAGAGCTATTTCAGAGGATATGATCCAGTTGACTACATATCTCTTATGGTGGCCTCTGGAAATTGAGGAACTTGGGGAAATTCCAAAACATCTTGGTGCCTGTGATAGCAGTGGTCGAGGCTGATTGGCAGAAATTCCAAGTCAGCAGGTGCTTAAAGAACTAAGCACGGACTGAGGTTTGCTAGGTCTTTTTAGGAAGTTCAGTAGTAAAGAATTCAGTTTGTTGTAGCCATCTCTCTTTAGAATTCCTGGTTTGGTGTTGAAGTTTTGGTAATTTGTTTTTTTTATCCTCTTAAGTTTTTGTCATGTCTCGCTGCATTTCGAGGAAGTGGGTGGAGTTTTTTTGTCTAGTAACTTTTGCTTTTTTGTTTTGTTTTGCTTTATTTATTTATTTATTTTTTTTCCTTACAGGTTCTCCCTCGTGTTTAGAGCATCCGGTTGTTGCTCTCTTTGTATTATTTGTGTTATTGGGTCAGTTGACCCCCGGGGTTGTCAAACATTTGATGTATGTGTTTAATCTGAGCATCTCTTATCGTTTCGAAAAAAAAATGTCTATTCTTTATTTCAAAAGTTAGCAATTAATGAATTCCAGAAAAAAAAAAAGTTACAAATCACTCGTTATAATTGACCAACGGTCCGACACCAATATTAATAATATTGGTGACTCATCTAGCAAAGAGACATCCAACATTCCATGTACACAACTGAAGCTCTATCACACGGTGAAATGCTATGTATACATAATTTCTTTCTTGTATAATAGTCTATATACTTTGATTATATGCACATAACATTATACTTTTACAACTAAACATGAAAATAAGCAACAATTCAACTCCCTGTTTGGTTCTCCTGGGCATTAATCTCAATCCCAGTAGTCTCACTCCTTCTCTCCTCACCAAACAGTGACCCACTTTTGTCCAAATCAGCCCTACAAATTGGACACACCGAAACCTTCATCAGCCACACATCCACACACTCCGCATGAAAGCTGTGATTGCACAACGGCAGAAGGCGGCACTTCTCCCCTGCCCGAAACATCTCCAAACAAACAGCACAGTCCGCACAAGGGCTCGTCGACGTTGCCCCCTTCTCCTCATCCTTCCCTTGAAAATCGAAGCACGGGAGCTTCTCTATTTCGTCCCTCGATAGGCTTCTGCTCCCAAGACGGCCCCTCTCCACACTGTACCTGGCTATTATGCCCTGCCTCAGTGTCCTCCCGACTACGCAAACGTGTATAAGGATTAAGATTCCGATCCCTATGACTAGCAAGAGTAGTGAAATCAATATAGCCATAAAGAAAAGTAAAAGGATAATCTATTATGAAACTGAAAGAACATAAGGAAACTTTTGAAGGAAAAAAACTTATGGCAGACCATAGTTGTGAAGGATGAGTTAGGTGAATGTTTTATAATATTAATTAATACTAATAAATTGTCTAGAAGAAGCAACTAGACCAATCACACTATCTGATTAGTGATTTTATATGCTTTTAATCTACGATTTTTTTAGTGGGTTAGCGGCTTTGGTGTACGTAATAGTCATTTTCGTGGAGTGGGTGAAAATGGTAAGAGAATAATAATAATAATAATAATAATAATAAGAAAAATAATAATAACAATAATAATAATAATAATAATAATAATAATATAATTATTATTATTGTTATTATTATTTTTCTTATTATTATTATTATTATTATTATTATTATTATTATTATTATTATTATTATTATTATAATAGTATTATTAGCTCTTGCAAAATAGAGATTAGACCTTTAATTACTCGCTTTTATTCTAGTTGTTCTATTCTGACAGCTTCAACGGGAAGAACAAATGCTGCTCGTCAGATGTTGCGTCGCCCGTCGGATTACACGCACCACTTATGTGGTTTTAATGTGTTGTGTGAGATAAATTGTGATGCTGAACTAATTAATAATATGGTTTAGTGCGGCATTAGACGAAGAGTGAAATAAAATAGTAATAAATTGTTAATGGAAGTATCTGCAGACCCACTGGTGTTCATAGGTCAACTTTGCAATTTAACTGGAAAGAACATCCATGTCTTGAGGGCATCTCACGTGTGACTTGTAGCACAAGTTATTCTGATTATTATTTTGAAAAATATGTTTTGCCATAAGTTTGGGGTGGCTACAATCCCGTCACGGAATCATTCCGTTGCGATTTGTAACCGTTAGATGTCATGTAAATTGGTGATGCATGTGCATAAACGGTTACAAATCCCAACAGAATAGTTCCGTAACAGGACTGTAGCGTTTTCCTTAGTTTAAATGTACTTGGATAATAGACTCATTAAAAACTTCACTCTCGTATTGAATAACGAACCAAATCAATTTGTTGAATAACATTGCGACCCTACATAAAACATGGTTAGGGCCTAGGGGTAGAATCGGCCCGATCAAGCCTGTTGACTGCAAGTCAAGAAACAACCCTTAGTTTTATTGGGCCGGTTCAAGTTCACAAAAGTATATTTTTGTAAACCGTCGGTTCCAGTTTAGGGTCGGCCAAAAAGGCCATGTTGTATTTATAAATCAGTATTCGATTTTTTTTTTTTTTTTTTTTTTTTTNNCATTTTCGGGTTATGACCGTTGGCCGGTCTCGCCAGAAGATAAAATCTATACTTTTAATCTTTTTGACCGTTGGAGATCCAACAATGTGATAATTTTATTGAAAATAGGTCCAATTCTGGTCCGAATTGTCCCACAATGAACCTCCTCCAACGGTCAGCATTTTGAAATCTGACCGTTGGATCGTTCCGATTCTATAAATTCTCTCTTTTCGATTTCGGTTCTATAAATTCTCTACATAATACTCTTTCATTTACAATTTCTATCACCTTCACCTCTATTTTTTTTTAATGTATGAATTCTATTCTTCAAGTTATAAAATGTCGAGTGCTCGTGGTGGTGCCAGGCAACGAACAACCACCAAAGCATAAAAATGTAGGTGTATCTATTGTAACGCCCCGTATTTTATTAATAAAGGAAAATACTAGCTTTCGAGTAAAAGCTAGCCTTTGTTAATAAATATTCATGTTAATATTCAAGTCGATGTTATTTAGCTAGTTAAGTTCTAAGTTCGACGTTAAGTCAATAATATATATCCGGTTAATTTTATTTATTAACCGAGTCAATGATAGTAATTAATCTCAGTCCGTTTATATTAATAATGGACATCAGCAGGTTGGGATTAATTATTTCAATGTTGACGTATTAATTAAGTTAATCGTCAAAAGTTAAATTCAAGCCATTTATTCAGTTTAAGTTAAAGTCCGACTATTAGTCGATAAATTATTCGGTTTAATTATTTCAGTAACCGGATAAGTTTCCAGATTTAATTCCGATTCACTTCTTTATTTAAAGAGTTCGGAATTAATAAGTTAAGTTGACGAATTATTCGAAATATCAATATTCGGATTAATCGTCCAAGTCAAGATTATTCGAAATTATCTTCGAAGACACGTTTACGTTCGGAATAATTTTGGTGTTAATTATTAAGATTAGTCAAATAATTAAGCATATTGAATTATGCTTAATTAGGGGATAATCATGTTTAAGCACTAAACGCCGTGAGCATTTTTGTATATCAAGTCATGTAGAAATTCATCATTTTTTCCTAAATGCCGTGGGCAATTGTTAACTAAATTCATGGGAGAATTGTCTCCATTCTTAAGCATAAGGTGGCTTCATTTGAAGGGGTTAAGTGATGACTAATACTCATGTTATATGACTAAGCATGTTAAGCCTTAATTATTCAACAAATGGTACAAGATCATTCGATAAAATTAATTTCCCCACCTCTTTAACTTTCGGTCATCATATATAGTAAGGAATTGGGGAGAATTTTAGCCACCTTAAATGCTCCTAAATATGTACTAAGTATAGAGAGAAGTGAGAGTTTTAGTGAGAATACGAACACGGAAAGCTTAGTCGCAAGCACGCGGAGAGCCTACGCGCGCACACGGAGGTGCAACATCCGAGCTATTACGAGTGTTGTGTAACTTAGCCGAGCGTTCGAAGAGGTAACCTCGGTTTACCTTCTCCTGATGTTATTAGAATCATGTTAAATCAGTTATGTTCAAGTCAAGTTCATGTCTTGGTCTTAGATTACTCTCGGTCGTACGAGTAGATCACGT